AAAAAAAAAAATAATAATTTCTATAAAATCAGTTTTTGATTAAATCTTCTATTCCCTTATATTTTTTTTTAATATTCTCTAAAAATCAAACAAAATTTTATCAATCTCATTTTTTAATAAGTAATTCCAATTATTGAAAACATTAAAAAAAAATTTGTTTTAATAAACAAATCTTACCTGAAGATGATGAATCAATAATATTTTCAAAAAATAAATCAAATTTATTTAAAATATTGAATTTTTTTAATTTTTTTAATATTTGAACTTCATTTTGAAAATAAACAGAATAATCATCATGTTTAGAAATTTTTAATACTGCACCTTTATTATTTTTAATATTTTCTAATAAATAAACGATTGAAGTTGCACCAAATCCTGATTTCATTGTAATATAAAATATATCATCATGTAAATAATCATTAGGATTAATATTTAATCTTGTATATTGATAAAAATTCGGATCCATTATGAAAAATTTTGTAAATAATTTAACTGTTTCATCATTAAAATTAAATTTTTCAATTGTTTGTTTTTCTCTAACAGATGATCCTGTTACTGATGATGATACTGATATTTTAGGTAAGTTACATAACACTAAGATTTGACTTTCATAATAAACAGTATCTTGATTATTTTTCTTTTCAGCATAAAAAAATTTTATTGTGTTAATATTTGTTATAAAACCATAAATTTTTTCACGTTGTTGTGCGTCTAATGTAGCATTCATATAACGAAACAAATTGTCAGCTTTGGATGTATTATGAATAGGCGATGTTGGTTTTTTGAATTCACCAAGGCAAATGATAAAATCTTCTAAAACTTCATGTTGTTTTGACGTATTAATATTAACATTTTTGAATATAAAAGCACAATCAGGTTTATAACCACGTGAACATTGTATTTCAGATTTGTTTAAATATTTCAACGATGTTGAATTAATAAATTGAGACAAAAATTTAGGCATTAAATCATTAAATATGTTTTGAACGCCACGTTCGTTTATATTATTTGATTCGCATTCACTCAAATCAGATTTAATAAATTTTATCATTTCTTCATTAACACCATCATAATTATTTATTACATCTTCAATATTGAATGACTTAATACCATCTTTTACAAACGACTTGTAAGAATTACGATGGCTCATTGATGAACTACATATAGAAGTAGATGAACAAGGACTTCCTTCGTATGTTGTTTTTATGCGTTTTGTATCATTGTACTCTTCGTTGTCTCTTGCTCGTTTGTCATGCACTGAGGCTCTTTTTCCTTCTAGAACAAGTAATTCTTTTTCTGCTGCGCTTTCTCTTGCATGTGCAGCTTGTATTTTTGCTTGTTTAGTTTGTATTTTTGCTTGTTCAGTTTGTATTTTTGCTTGTTCAGTTTGTATTTTTGCTTGTTCAGCTTGTATTTTTGCTTGTTCAACGAGTAATTCCTTCTCTGCTGCTTCTATTCTTGCTTGTGCAGCTTGTATTTGTGTTTTATTAGATTCTATCATGAGTTTCACCTCTTCGGAGGTTTTTCCCGACAAAGGATCATTTAAAGCCATAGCTTATTTAATTGTTAATTTATTATTTATCTATAAAATAAAAAAGAAAAAGAAATTTTTGATGAAGTTTATGAAATTCGATATATAACTGGTATAAATTGAATAGAAGTGCAAGTAAAAACAAAGTCACCTTTGTTTAAAAAGACATTGTTTTAGTCTATTCATAGAGGAAGACATAGGAAACGAGGGCGCTCGATGAGACATTGGTTAAGCTGGTGTTCCACCGTATATACGCTATACATTCAAGCTGGTGTTCCTTTTCATGTGTATAGTGTTCCACCGCTAATTAGCGGTGGAACACTATACACA